CGTTGCGTCTGCATAAGCCAAACATAACTGGTTGTTTGCATACGTAAATGCGCTACGAATCCTCTCTGCAACTGGAGTTCCTACAGAAAGAGAGCGCCTTTCTCTTCTCTTCTGTAGGTATCGTACCAATGCCTACGTTATCCGTGGACATTGACAAATATATTCAAGTTTCTCTGCCAGTTCGCATGGTGCAACCCGTTCGTGTCTTATTCCTGTTGTATAGGCAAAGAGAGATATTCATTTCTTTTTTCATTCATGTTTTTGCCGATATATTCATTTCTTGCCTGTTTAAAATTTTTTTGCTTGACTTGCTTTGTGTCTTTACTAGAGTGAGGTTTACGTGTAATCCTTTTAGTTTTTTGCACAATCTCTCGCTTGCCTGTTACTTTTTGACATGGAATGCTTTTTTACACCATGTATAACGGGCCCTGGCTCTGAACGATTCATGACTTTTGAACTTTACGAAGGGTTTTATCACGTGAAGTGCGCAAGTATCAGTGGCCGTACTGCAGTTTCAGTCCTAGATACTCCGAAAGGCTTACGTTGGTAATGTCCCGACTATAGGAAGCAGGATGTTGACTTTTATAAGCCGTTCACGGAGACAGGGAGCGGGTTTTTTGAATTAAGCAAAAATCTCGTTACTTTGTGAGGAAAGTTTGAGAAAATCAACACATTGTTCGATGAGTCTCGTTATGTAGAACACTCATCTTCTCCCCTAGTCTGTAAAAGTCGTAGTGTAGCATGTGGTACTTCACCATCGCCTTGACCTAAATCTGATTCGTCGACTCATATCAGCGCTCCATCCTTGCTTACAAAGAATGTTAGCGTTTCCGCTATCGTGGACTCACCTGGTAATACTAAATTTGCAAATAAGCTGGGAAGTCGTCCTTGTTTTAGCTATGCTCAAGTGGCAAAAGTATCTCCTCCCCATTCAGTCCAGTGCCATTCAGGCTACTCTTTTTGTATCTTTAAAAAATATTAATAAAAATAACAAATCCGCCTCTCTCCCTCAAAAAACGAAATGTTTATTCAAGCCCTGCAACTTTCATTTACCAAATGTTTAGACGCCTGAATTTAAAGATTTACTCTGCTTTCCACAATTCTGTGAGCATGGAGTTCTTCTGTTTGGTTATTACTAGAACCTTATTAAAACATAATCTACATTAGTCAGAACTTCTTCTGCAGAAACGATCGATTGGATAGCACTGGTGGTGGTGTTCTAATTGCTATATCTACTGCAATTGCGGCCTATTCTATTGAATTTTCCACTCTACCCGACGTTGAATTTATTGCTATTCAGTCGAAAATTGTCAACAAACAGTTATATATAACTAGCTCCTATATTCCCCCAAATGCGGATATTTCTACATGTAGGAAGTAGCCTACGATCACCTGTGACCTGGCCGAAAAGTCTGAGCTTGCTGATATAGTCATAGCGTTGGGGGACTTCAATTTCCCACAAGTCACTTCGATCGTGACTTATTTTAATACAACCGTACTGCTAGATTTTTGCTTTACCAGTTTCCCCTAGAGAACGGTAAACCACTGTCCACCCTTTAGTTTACCTGAGGATCCGTACTATCCAGCAATTTTCTTTTTCTTTCCTTACAGGCATAATAGTCCATTGAACTATTTTAGCCTGCCAAATCCAACTCTGTCGAATAACTATTAGGATTTTAATAAAATCAATATGTTACTGCTTAAATTTCATCTTTCATACATTATGCTTGATTTTTCTGCTAGAATATTAGACCTTGGTGCCATTGTTCTATAACGTATTAAGCCTACCTATTTCTGCATCCGTTCCGATCCGACAAAATGGGAAAAAATAAACTTTTTCAAAAATTTATGAAAAGTGGCTCTGCTTACAACCAATTCCCCTAATCTTTTGCAAGACACAGAGTTAATTACCTCAACCACCAAAGTTATTTCAGACATCTTTAGTTGGTAAAATATTCTTTGTTTATTGATAATAAATATTTTTATAAGTTTGTTAACTCCAAAGCAAAAATACCCATATATCCGTCGCAACTTCCTTTCAACGGCCCTGAGTTGTCTGATGATATTGAAACCTGAAATCGCTTTGCGGAATACGCCCGAAGAAATTATTCAACTGCTTATTGTGATTTAACCTTTAACTATTCCTACCCCTATCCCACAACAAGGTCGTTTTCGATTTGTAACTTGTTCATTTCAGGAAACGATGTTTTACTTGGTTTGAGTTCCCTAACGTATAGTTGCGCGCTTGGATCTGGTCGGATCCCATCATGCATACTTAAAATATGCTCTGTCGAGCTATTTCAATTATTTTTAAATCGTTTAAGCGACTTGTTAATCAGCATTTATGTTATGCTATCAAATCATATATTTCTCCATTCCAATATGGAAAGAAAGATTTACTGCTACGAGTCTCAGAGTTTACTTACCATGCTTTCAAGACTTTTTCTAATGGCACAGATGTCGTATATACTGATTTAGTAAAACGTTTGACTTATTTAACCATAACTTATTCATCTCCAAACTTCAGTCCTCTTTCGTCCATTTCTATTTAGTGATATGGATGAGTTCTCATCTACGTAACAGATCATTCAGGGTTCTGTTTATCTTCATCACCTCGAATGCATTTCTCGTGACCTCTGCCGTCCTTCAAGATAGCCTCTGAGGACCCCTTTTATTTAATTTATATATTAATGTACTACCCTCGGTAATTAAATCCTTGGATTTACAATCGCATCAGCTTCAAATTGATCTGAATAATTTAGTTACATGGTGCTCGTTAAATATTATGAAATAAAATCTATAAAAATCTGAGAACCTTTCTTTCTTAAGAACGAAGTCATTCAGTACTGAGTATTTTCTTGATTCACATAAGTTTGAAAACGTTAATCGATTTAGGATGTAAAGGTAATGCTTATATTTCTTATGTGTGTTTTTCATTCTTCTAAGTTGCTCAGCATCAAAGCGCCACGGCTTTCTTTTGAAATACTACTCGGTTGCAAAGTCAAGTGCTAAATTGGAAGAACAATTGATTCGCTTGATTGTAACTTCATAAGAATTTGTACCTTTTACTCATAATTGTTCTGCTTTTAGACAATTTTTGGTTTTGATAATATTTACAATTACACTTGTTGTTCTATATTGAATTTTGCGATATCTATCTTTCTTTGCGCGTGCATCAATTTGGACGAATCATACCAACGAATTTTTGTAAGGATGCCGCCTTTGTCGCTCTTTTGAGCATATAACTCTTTTTCAGACAAACGTATAGAGCTTCTGTATATGTTATTTCCAAGTGACGCTATTTGTGCCAAAAATGCATTTATTTGGCTTTATTTTAAGGCCAAATTTTTCTAATTTCGCAAACAAAATTCTGAGGTACTATAAATGTTCGTTCTCGTCCCTACTGAATATAAGAACTTTACCGGTTTAGACTAAAACGAAATCCAATCCATTTTTAAGAATCTGTAAAAGAATTGCGAACAATTTTTAAGCGAAAAGTTCATTCGCACGAATTTAAACATTGTAAATCGTAAATATCTGGAGAGAGAACTTATTTGGAATTATTGCAACCACGTCTGTGATCGCTACAGGAACACTTGCCGTTCTATTTGGATAGAAGATGTGGAAGAGAGGCAACTGTTTAATGATAATAATATGCTTGATTGGATAAAAACTACTGAAATGGGAAAATAGAAGAGGTACTTTCGGAACCGCACTGTGGACAATGGTGCGCTTTGTTGAAGTGGAATAGCCAAGGACACGTGTGAAACTTCGAAATCCTTTTGAATTGTATTCCTAAAAGCTTAGGATTGTCTGGAACGGTAAGTGTATCAACTGACAAGCTTGTTAATGAACATTCGTCATTTTCATATTATGTCAACTAGTAATCAGATTTTCCTACGAAGTCTGCTTCAAAAATGGTTTGGGAAAATCTTTTCATATGCCTAGGTGACACTATGCTATTTTATATATACCATTTAATATCTTAATCATTATCTGCAGCCAGAGCAATATCGCAATTATCCACAATCCCCTAGCTGTTGATGGATACTGCTTTGAATATGTGTTCAAAGCGAATCTACCTGCTAATGGTTTATCGCTGACCATTTCTAGCCTTCGCAATGTTGTGGTGATTTGCTACGTCCTATACAATCTGTTACTTCTTTGAGCGAGTATTGCCCTTTTATTGCCTTGGTTTGATATCTTCTTCACGCCATTATCATTGTATCATTGGTTATCGTCCCATCTCTAGGTGTGTATACTATATATTCCATTCCTGGTGTTCAAGGCACTAACGGGGCAAGGACGTTTCTTCCTACTGAAACCACTTGTTCCATTGACAAGAGTAAATCTGAGTCTATTGAAGCCAATCAATACCCTACAGGTCGGCTTGAGCTGAATGGTTAAGTTTTATTAAATTCCGAACTTATATGACCATGCTCAATTGCCACTCCTGGTCGCAAAGCTTCATTGGGCTCTAAGTCCGCCACGAGGGCACATATGGTATTGAGTTACATCCTCATTTTATTAGTACTTTTAAATATAATACCGAGCGACGTAAAGAAATATAGCCTTTTGAAATCTTAGCTCCGCTATTATTGCGTAAATAAGTATTTCTGGCCTAACGGTGCCCATTTCAAAAAAACTAATCATTAGAATGAAAAATTCTACTACACTTTCAAAAAAACGGAATGACAAACTTACTGAGCGATACCAGAGTGGCCACGGCTTTAATACTCAGTTGAATGATAGGCTATTGACAAATTATTGGCTACAATTATATTGCAGTCTTCGCTGAATGTTGGCTTAAGTCAAGTGCTATCGGGGCTGGCTTTTTTGTGCAAACTTCTCAGGTTTAAGCAAAAACAGGTTGTTCATCGCGTTTCCGATGCGTTAGAAAACATCATTGAGTTCCGCCGGCGTCAAATTTTGCACTATTTAATTGATCGCAGGCAAATATTTTTGCGAAATCTCTATTAAATGTATCTCTTATCATGCAGTGTTTATTCTGTATGTCGCTGCCTCTCGTTGAAGGGGAACGAGTAAGAGAATGTGGTATTCTGCAAAGGAGGAGAAGGAAATAGGACCTTTTTGATACACATAGTAAGTCGCCAATGATCACAAAGGAAAGATTTGGCAGGAACGAGTGTAAATCGTTAAGGAACACCGGTCGGTTACAACTCCTATCAATTAGTTGCTTAGAAAGTTCGACATAAATTGAACGAAATTGATGTCAGCACCAAATTCAGTTAGCTTGGATCATGGTATTCCCTGTCAAACGCCTTGGAAATATCTAGCGAAACGACCTTGCTTTCGAGGGGGAAACGAACAGCGCTGTGCCAATTCACGGTATTTATTTATTTGTTTATTTATTTATTCCACTTATACTAGAAACTCAACTAAACAAATAACAGTCGAGTTCAATTGGCCCTTAACGCAAAACTTATATTAATTAATAATAAAATTTAGTATAAGTATAATAAAGCAAATAAGAAGAAAAAAAAAAAGCAAAAGAAAAAAAGCATTTACACTATCAGCATAGGGACACACTTACATCCGGTACAGGACCAAATTGCAAATGAACCCCTAAGCCATCGCAAACATGCATAAGCCTGGCAACCGATAATAAATTGACAATAATTCACTTTCGAAACGTAACGACTTTTTAAGGATAAAAGCTAGTTTAAATACGACATAGGTAAATCGCGCGTATTAAGCAATGTTGCTTTAATGGACTTTAAAGAGTCCGATAACGAGAATAAGTGGTAGACGTCATTTAGGTTCTTGCAAACGACTCTGAGCGGATTGAACAGCTCATAATTAAACTTACACTGACTAAGCTTAACCAAGATAAAGTGCCTGGAGAAGCGGTTAGGGACATTAAAGTTTATTTCACCAAGTAATGAAGGCGAGCCAATGGCGCCATTTATTACTTTAATTAGAAAGGAAACGCCAAGAACAAATCTACGTTTCTCAAGAGACGGTAGGGACAGCAAAAGCAACCTATTTTCATACGGAGGAAGAGAGGCAATCGGATCCCAACCCAAATTTCCAAGGACAAACAGCAAGAATTGCTTTTGAATAGATTCGATTGAATCTACGTAGCACCTATATGAAGGAGACCACACAACTGAGGCATACTCGAGTATGGGTCTAACCAAACACATGTACAGCCTTTTCGTAATGTAGG